ATAAAATTAATAATTTAAATCACAGAGTAAGTGTAACCAAATTTAGAATTTCAGCACATAAATTACCAATTGAAAAATTAAGATACCAAAAAATACCCTCAGAGCAAAGATTTTGCACACTGTGTTCTGATCAGTCTGTTGGTGATGAAATGCATGCTCTTTTTGACTGCAAACTGGATGAAATTGTAAAGGCACGTAGCTACTTTTGGAATATTTTAAAATTGCCAAAAGAAGATATGTTTGTGCATATTATGGGAATAAAAGACAGTTTCATTGCCAATAGTATAGAAATGTTTATTAACATAATTTTACAATGTAATACCTAACAGTTGTTATCTGTTTTTACAGTTTATTTTATTTTTAATATCTGTATTTCTTGTTATTGTGTTGTTGTTGTTGTTGTTGTTGTTTTTGTGTGTATGATTATTGACCATGGTTAATGTATTTCCAATTCATTAATTTGAGTCAAATAAAATATACTATACTACACAATTGTACTGGCACATATGTGAGAGTTGTGTGTTGAATCGTGTGCATTCTTTAAAATACGAGATACACATGTTCAATACCACTATTCTATATTTTATTACATACAACACTGAGATTCAGCCAAATATTACTGGTCTAACAAATTCTAATAATAATTGCAAAAGTATCGGGGAAGCCCTTTATGCAAAGCTTGTTGTAAGACTTGCCCACCACACAGTATAAATATGTTAATGAGAAAAAGAATCTTATTCACCAAATCATCTTCAGTGTATTTCTCTCTCTCTGATGTTGAATGGAATAAGATATATGATTCAAAACTAACTTAAACAATAAACCTATAAAAATACACACGATACTAAGATATAAGTTTGGGCAATCAAGGACTGCCAGGTCTATTAGTCCCCGTTTGGACAAAGTTCGAAACGAGGACTTATAATTCAGTCTCCGTCCATCCTCAGTCCCGAGTCATATTTCAGAACCCTGTGGACAAAATGTGTTCATTCTTTGTTGTGTCTAGTACTTTACCTGAGACATATGCACATGCAGTGGTTTACTGATTCAATCAAATATGTCTGACTGGCAGCCATCTTGTTTTTTTGGAAAATGTGGTATCTTATGCATGCTTTGTCAGTTGTTTTTCAAATTTGGTACATAAATTATACATCTTAGGATACATGTGTATGTCGAATCGTTTCAGGATTGGATCAAAAATGGCCAACTGGCAGCCACTTTGTTTTTTGAAAATGTGGTATCTTATGCATGCTTTGTCATTTTTTAAAATTTGGTACATGCATTGTACGTTTTGGATTTCATGTCAACAAAAATTTGTTTTACAATCAGATTAAAGATAGCCGACTGGTGGCCATCTTGATTTTGATCATACAACTATATCATCATCATTTTGACCATTCATGTTCGGCACATACATCATAAATATAGGAATACATGTTTATATCAGTTTGTTCCATAATCAGACCAAAGATGGCCGACTGGCATCCAGTTTGTTTTTTGAAAAATGTGATTTATTCAACAGGATTTGTCGTTTTTTGTTGAAATTTGATACAAACATTGTTTATGTTGAGATACACGTCCTTGGTGATTTGTTTCGTGTTTGAATAAAAAATTACTAACTGGCAGCCATCTTGCTTTTTCAAAATGTATTGTTGACATGTTGTTTTTCTCTTCAAATTATACATGTTACGATACTTGTCCATGACCATTAGTTTCACAATCGGATCAAAGATGGTTAACTGTCTGTAATCTTGCTTTTTGACCATACTACTATATCTCTGTACATGAACCTAGACAAAGGAAATTCGGTTTGAATAAAAAAAATGAATAGCTTATCCTGTTTAATTTCTGACCATATATTTCGATTTTGGAAGAGTAATTTAATACATCTAATTTATGTTGATACTAGACCAGCCATTTATTCACTCTAAATTACTGACTATACTTTCGGTCTGCAATTTTTTTTTGGCATGAATAACATTCCCCCTAATTCTAACGGGGACTATGTCATTCACAATGACTTGTTAAATAGGTAGGCTTGTGGCTACATGCAGCACAGCCACCATACCAACAAAAGTATCCCCTAACTTAGGATAAATACATACTATAAAACCTACACTAAAAAAATAAAATTTATAACAAAGAAAGCCAAATATACTGTGACGGAAAGGGTGGGTGGGCAGGCCCGTAGCCAGCACTTTTGAATAGGGGGTTCGAAAACAACAATAAATGATATATTTATTTATAATATTCAAAAAGTGTTTTTGAGCTCTGTTACATACATTTTTATATTCTCGGTTTTAAATTCAATTGGTTTACTTTGTGTTACGTTGGTAAGTTATTTCACATAACATTTTTGAACTATTTTACCATTTTAGAGAAGAGGTCCTAGGCCATTCCCCACCCACACCCTTGATCCATTACGGCAAAATGTTGTACACAAAAAAGACAAGACTGTACGTATCTTAGCATTATTGTCTAAGCATTTTAAGGTAGAATGCTACTCACGAGCTTTTTCGCTCTTCACAGATGTTAGCGCACATAAAAGTGACACAATTTCATGTCGAAATCTGTCTACAATTATTCATTTTAGTATTAGTCAATTATGTAATTTTATTTCTGTACAGAGCCTCACCACACCGTACAAAATGTAATGGGTAGAAAAGTGCATATCACGTTTTAAAAACAATACAACATCCATGTAAACATATGGTACTAAGTTAAGCTAAATTCATATTTATCTCGTCGTTTTAAAACTTTTAACAGATACAGAGCTAGTTGATATATGGTGTGGCAGTTTGTGTAGCGACGAAGTAAGCCCAGACTGTCAGTATTTGCATAAATCAGCCATTGGATCATTATAAAATGAACATATAAAATGAACATATAACAACAAAGTGAATTTCAATTGTCTACCATGCTAAATTCAAACGTATCACTGCAAAAACTAAAAATTTATTGATCTAACTGTATTTTTGTGTGTCTGCCTAATTCAACATTATGTTTATGGCCAAAACAGCGAAAACTCGTCAGTATATATTTTAATCTATAATTGCTTACCAATAAATCTCCCAGGTTATAATACTGCATTGATTTTTTCGAAAGTACACAGCGGGGATGATTGTGAAATTGAGGCATGCCATTCTTGCTGACAACATTTTTTTTATTCTTTGAGTAAATATCTCTTGTTTTTCAAACCAGGCAATGCCGAAACCATATTTGAACAGGGGATTTTTATGTGAGTTTCCCAAGTAAGTC